TCTGGACACAGACGAACGCAAAGATATGTCAGGTTCGCAGTCACCCGATGGGTACCGCGACGAGAGGGACCAGCACGACGACGCCCCGCCGTTCATGTCGATGGAGAACCTCAAGGTTGCGCAGGTGCAGGTGGTGGGTGGAAATCTGTACGGGTACTCGATTGCGTTCGTGGCAGTGTACGCGAACTTCTACCTGACGTCGACCGACTGCTCGCTGTACAACACACCGGTTGCGTGTGAGGCGGTGCCCAATGCAGAGTGCGCGTGGAACACCGATAAGAATATGTGTGGGTGGAAGGATTTCACCTGTGAGGGGGCATACCTGAATGAGGGCGAGTGCCTCGGGGATGACAGGTGCAACTGGGTGTACGGCGATGAGAAATGCATGAATCCGATTGGCTACAGCTCTGTCTACAACGGCATTTTCGCTGGCGCGATGATTGTTGGCGCGATGATCGGTTCTATCTTTGCCGGTCAGTTCGCTGCCAAGTTTGGCCACAAGGTGTCGTTCCTGATTGTTGGTATCGTCGGCGTTGTGTCGTCTGTGATGTACCATGTGGCCTCGGCTACAGATCAATTCTGGGTGCTGTGCACTGGCCGTCTGCTAGTCGGCGTTGTGCTTGGCCTGGTGTGTGTTGCCTGTCCGATGTATGTTGACCAGAACGCGCACCCAAAGCATGTGAAGGTGGACGGCGTGCTGTTCCAGGTGTTCACCACTTTCGGCATTATGTTCGGCGCCGCGATGGGTCTTGCTCTTGGGCAAAGTGTGAACTTTGACAAGGACGCGAACATGACTGGTCGCATGCAGGGCTTGTGCGCCTTCTCGACGCTGCTGTCGGTGATCATGATCCTGCTTGGCATTGTCCTTGGCGAGAGCAAGACGAGCTTCGTGGGTGGCAAGCAGGAGGGCGGCGAGGGTGCTGCGCTTGATCCGAACGAGTACAGCTATGCGCAGATGCTTGGCCCCCTGTTGATGGGTGTTGCGGTCTCCGGAACGCTGCAGCTGACTGGCATCAACGCCGTGATGAACTACGCCCCGACGATCATGAGCAGCTTGGGGATGGAGGCTCTTGTGGGTAACTTCGTGGTGATGCTTTGGAACTTCGTGACGTCTCTGGTGGCGATCCCACTCGCCTCGTTCTTCACGATGCGGCAGCTGTTCCTTGGTGCCTCACTCGCTGCTTCCGTTGCGTGCTTGTTCCTGTGCGGCATCCCTGTGTACCCCGATGTCGCCGAGACGAACGTGAAGAATGGCGTTGCGATCACTGGCATCGCCGTCTTCATTGCCGCGTTCGAGTTTGGTGTTGGGCCGTGCTTCTTTGTGCTCGCGCAGGATCTGTTCCCGCGCTCTTTCCGTCCGAAGGGCTCGTCCTTTGTGCTCTTGGCGAATTTCGTCTTCAACATCATTATCAACGTGTGCTACCCAATCGCAACGGAGGCCGTCTCTGGCGGCCCGTCCGGCAA